TGATAACATGCTCAGAATGTGATGGAGATTAAAAAAAAGATATGAAAACCAATACAAAATGCCTTCCATTATTCAAATTAGGGACAAATTGAGCATCGAAAGAAATGCTGACAATAATGAATCATAACTTATTAGGTAAAATTACAACACAAGTCAATAATGATAAGAATGAATGAGTAGGTGAGGAAAAAGGCCCTTTCTGACAGAGATGAAATTGATGGAAGGATTGATGGAGTTAGAAAATTTCCATTTTTCAACTGAAGAAATGGGAGTGGCAGAATAATAATTGATTAGGCAAGAATCATTAATGAATGCTAAAACTTGTGTGTGAATGTTTGAAAAGAAGCAAGGCACTTTGCATAGTCTTAAAATATCGCCCCACAACTGACTTTCAGTTTCAAAGGGGAAAATAGTAGTCATCCCCCAAAAATTACCAAGAAACTTGCATAGTTACAAAAAAGCCCATATTATCATATGTCCCCAGAAGCAATTCTGAGAGAATATAGAACATATTTGTGAGAGAGAAGAAAAGTAAAATTTGTTTTGAAAAAGCAGTACTGTGCCCAGCAAGTCAGTAATAAAACTCAGGTTATAGTGTTGGTGACTTTTTTCTCAATGCATTTATCTTTTAAAAGCAAGCATTCACTTTTAAAAAGTAAGAATTCAGAAAGTACTCTGAGAAAAGGAGAGCCTCCAAAAATGAGTGATTCATGTTATCTTTGTATAACTTTTTCTTCACTGTATTATGTCTTGAATAATAGTTAAAAGGGAGAGTGAAAGTGAATTCTCAATTGTTGATATTTTATAAAATTTCCCTCAGAGCACTATGTTCAATTGAATAGCTATATAGAGCTCAAGTGTTTTATATAATGTTATACATTTTAGCAAAAAAAAAAGTTCAGTCAAGCTTCTGTTTCAACCACTAGGTGGCATGAGCCCACAGTTGATGATTACAAGTGAATTGGAAGCCTATAATCAGGGCATCTGGTTGATCCAAATACTGGGTGCAAACATACATCCACCAATGCACTGGAAGAGAAGGATGTGCTACCAGAAGAATGAGAAAAGGAAATCCCTTTACTAAGTCAGCTTTTGAAACTGAGAAATGTTCTAATCTTGCAGGCAACAAACACTTGTTAAATCTTCACCTTACATTGCCAGGTACTGTGCTAGGGATAGAGGAAATATCAAAACAGATACCAGGGACTCTGCTTGTACAAAATTTACAGTCCAATTTGAGTTGGGGATGGACATAGAAAAATAAGCAAGCAATGCCCTACCTTGTGACCCCTGCTTCATTGTTTAAGTGTCAAGTGTTATGAAAACACAAAGAAGGGGCATTGAAGCCAAAGAGGGACAAAGGAGGAAGATGTTCTAGAAAGACACATCACAATAGAAGACCACACAGACAAAGGCTTCAGAGTATTATCTATTTCTCAGATTAAATGGACTACAATAAATAAGATCAAGCCAAGAAAAAGCCACTTAAGAAATAAGGGATGTATATAAGGAAAAAAAAAAACCAAGGAAGAAAACAGTGTTTAACAACTATACAGTATGTTTCCATTTTTCAATTTTTATTTTTAATTAGTACATGTTTGCAGTACATAATGGTGACATTCCTTACAAACATCAGTATGTATATATAAAACACCTCAATTCTCTTCATCCTGTTCCCCTCTCTTGCTCTCCCCTTCTCCTCTCTCCCCCTCCTTCCATTTCCATTTTTTACAAATTACAATTAATGCTTGTTTAACACGTAGATTCAGTAAATCTTTGAGTTTTTCTCACACTCAGGATATATTCCTCTATGGAGAATTACCAAACTACACAATATTTTGAATTTTATTATAATTGTTAATTACACAGAATACATCCATATGATGGAATTGTAGGCAGTCATGAAAATTGCCTGAAGCAAGAGATAAGAAAATAGATTCTTTGACATGATGCACACTTCTGTGGCCAGCGCTGACTCCCTTGTCTTCACAGCCTTCCCTTTCATTTTTAGTAACCAAGCCCTTTCATATGCATCTTTTCTCCTTTTTTAAAATTCATTAAGTTTACTGGTACATTTTAGGTATACAATACAATGACATACATCATTGGGAATTTGTACCTTTACATGATATATCTTGGTTCTTACTTTTTCCCCATTACCCTGCCCTTCCTTTGACTGCTCCACCCTGCCCTATTTATAAAGACTTTGTTTCCGTTTAGGGAAAAGAATAAATATGAGAAAAAGAAAAAACAGAAAAAAGTCTTTTCTCCTTTTTATTTGTTTATTTGTCCTAGTAACAATCTCCAGTGCCTTTGTTTTTTAATTCATCTTCATCAGTACATACATTTCAAATGCTTTTTGCATGAGTTTGTAAAACAAAGAAAAGCTTGACTTCGTGAACCCATAGGCACACACAAACACACTTGTACATGCAATGACTTTAAAAACACACAACAGCTGCCTACCTCACAAGCGTAAGTTTCCAAGTTCAATCTCTGGTACCAAACACACACACACACACACACACACACACACAACAAGCACCAGTAATGGACAATGGAGAAAAGTGGAAGAAGACTAGAAAACTGGCTTACTGACATCCTTTCACTGGTTAACTTTGGTAATCATTTTAAATACCATAAGCATCATCGTAGTCTTTTCAGGACACTACAACAGAACTCATATGTTGGGTGGCTTAGCAACAGAACTGAGTGGCTTAAGCAATAGAAAAGTATTTCTCATGGTTATAGATGTTGGGAAATCAAAAATCAAGGTATCAGTAGATGTGGTGTCCTACTCCTGACAGCTCGCTTTCTGGTTCACAGACAGTACCTTCTTATTCTGTCCTTTCACGGTAGAAGAAGAAAGGAATCTCTCTCAGGCCTCTCTCATAATTCCACCAGTTCCATTTATGAGGGTTCTACCCTGATGACTTAATCATATCCCAAAGGCTCCATCTACTAATACCATTATTACAATACGTGAATTTTGAGGTGATGGACTTATTCAGTATAGAACAAACATGTACTATTTAGTCAATGTAAAATAAGTATACACTGTAAATAGAATATACAAGTAACCTGGTGGAATACGAGCTTTTTCATATAAGCAAGCATACACCCAGAAACATGAAGCAATTTCCCCAGAACACAGAATTAATTAGCAGAGGTGCCAATAATAGAAGAGGATCTAGCAGGAATGAAAACAAATTTAGTGTCTGACATTTAGTTCTCTTAATAACCCTAGAAAAAGATGAACGGTGCTCAGTAATATCAAGTAACTTGCCTAAAGTTACACAGATTTTGGGTAGAAGCTGGGATTCAAACTTGACTCAACCCTCCAACTCCCTAGTCTCTAGTCCTTCTGAGTCTTTTTGTCACTCTGCCCTTCTTCCTGCCCTGGTCATCTGGATTCTACAGTGTATCCATTCTCATTTTTTTTAATTCACCCTTACTGATCTTCACCATTCCTGAGGGAAAAACTATATATCTACCCAAACTTCATTTTTTTCCAAATAGAAGAGAATTTTTCTAAAGATAACCATCTATGTAAATGTATTTCATGTCATTTCAGTATCATTACTTCACAAAAATAGTTACCATTTATAATTTCCTTTTAAACCAAAAAGTATTTCTGTTTCTCTTTACATGGTACCATTAGCTCATGGATTTATGAATTTGAGCTCAACCAACCTGCCCTTTACTAGGAATGTATTAGAGATGCATTAAAATGGATCAAAATGACCAAAAAATATAATGGAGGAACTATTTGCACAGGTTTAGACAAAATAATGGTTGAGAGAAACAACAAAGGCTTGTTGGGCTAGCAAAAGCAGTGAGACATTTGACATCTTACCACGAAGAAGTAAGGTGGTGAGCAGTTACTATAACCTAGCAAGAAATGAGGACTTCAGTTACTGCCACTGTGGCCTAGCTGGCAGGAAGCCTGGGAAACAAATATCATATTGTTCTCCTCCATTTCTCTCATTTACTCTGTTGAGGAGGTCATTGGGCTAACCCAAGAAAAGAAATCAGTTCCTATTAGAGAATTCCTTCCAAAACCTGGAGATGGAGGAAATACTAAGGGACAGAAAGCTGATCTGAGAAGGAATTTTAAAGTACTCCATGTAGTCTCTACTCCATGTAGCTCCACAAATATTCAGTGTGCATTTCATCTGCTTGTGGGATTCTCTCTGGGGCTGGCCTGATTACTAGCAACACAGAATTCTATGGTTCCCAAGAATTCTCCAGATTCTGAACTGACCACACTGAACTTCAGTCTTCACTCTGACTTTAAAAGTCAAATTTGGAAATAAAACAAACATAAAAAATAATTTCCAAATTCTGTTCTTTAGAGCCTTGAAATGTTCTGTAAGTTCTTACAGAGAGAATTATTGCCAAATTCCTGAGAGTTCAAGTCTCTGAGCACCACACAATTGCTTCAGGTGGTATCAGGCTCAGAGCTCTCGGTCCTAACACATTTCTCCTACACTTTGCAAAATGCTTTAAGAATTTCTCTGGTCATTTAGCCAAGACCATCTCAACAAAATCCCATACCTCCTACCTTCTTGCAAAAATGTGCTATTTAAAATTAGTCTTTGAGAAGCTGCATAAAATTTCTATAGACAGACCAGATTTTAACATCCTAGTCCAACTCACATTCGAAATGAAGTATTCCAGGGCCTGAGGGAAGAAGAAAAAGAGCCATAATGGAAAGTAACAAGTGTTACAAATAAATTCTGTGTTCTAGTCATTTGTCTGCTGAGATGCTGACCTGAAGCAAGGGATATAGCCTGCATCTATATGAGAGATTTAGAGGAATTTCAAAATCTAATAAATCTGAGTATTCTGTAGCTTTAAGAATATTTTTAAGTTTAAGAACCCTAAAAAATAAGGAAGATGAAGCCATTTGAGAATGAGTTAAAATTTATTCCATATAATTCACTGGAGCCTGAAACATTGAGGAGAGGGAAAAATGTTTCTTTCACAAGCATTGCCCCTTAAGAAAATAGATTTTTGCTCAAGATATTTTTCAGAGCAACTTTGACATCTTTATTCCTCAGGCTATAGATTAAGGGGTTAAGCATGGGCACCACAATGGTGTAGAACAAGGAGGACACTTTCCCCTGGTTCATAGGTAAAAGAGAAGATGGTTTGAGATACATGAATGCCCCTGACCCAAAAAACAGAGAAACAGCAATTATGTGGGAGCTGCAGGTGCTGAAAGCTTTGCACCTACCCTCTTTGGAGTGAATGTGAAGGATGCTGGAGAGGATTAGGGCATAAGAAATAAAGATGGTGACTGTGGGCACACCAATGTCGATGCCCACAACAATAAAGACCACCAGCTCATTCACATAGGTGCTGGTGCAAGACCGCTCAAGAAGGGGAAGGATGTCACACATGTAGTGGTTGACAAGCTTGTCAGCACAGAAAGTCAACCTCACCATGCATGCTGTGTGGGTCATGGCCCCAGCAAACCCCATGCCATAGACACCCAACAGGAGAAGTAAACACACCTGGGGAGACATAGTGACAGTGTATACCAGTGGGTTACAGATGGCAACATAGCGATCATATGCCATCGCAGACAGGATGAAGGACTCAGAAATGACGAAGAACAGAAAGAAAAAGAGCTGAGTCATACACCCAGGGTAGGAGAGAATGTTCTTCTCTGAGATAAAGCTCATCAACATTTTGGGGGTGATAACAGTGGAATAGCAGAAATCTATGAGAGACAAGTTAAAGAGAAAGAAGTACATAGGGGTGTGCAGGTGAGAATTCAGCCCAATCAGTGTTATCAAACCCAGGTTTCCCACCACAGTGACCACGTAGGAACCTAGAAACAAGAAGAAGAGAGGCATCTGGAGTCCAGGCTGGTCCGTTAAGCCTGCAAGGATGAACTCTGTCATGGAGGAGGAGTTCTCAGCTACCATGCTCAATGAAAGGCATTCTGCAGAGAGAGAGAGAGAGAGAGAGAGAGAGAGAGAGTCAATCCTTGGTGCCCTCACAGTCACCTCACCCATTCTTGAGAATTGAGAACTGGAAGCACTGAGGTTTTGAACTTCAGCAAAGAAGCCCTTCCCAATGCTCAGGCACCTGGTCTCACGTTCCCCAGTGTCTCTGTTCCCTGGAAGACTCACTTACCTCCATTTACAGGCAGGCATTTCTGGGAAAAAAGACCTCAAGAAGCCCTCGAAGAGACTCTCTGACCTTTAATTTTGTTCCTACATTATGTTCTTCTAACTGTACTTTTGGCTCAAGTTTATAAAAAGAGGCCAATTTCTGGGAAGAGTTCTCTTGGTGGCTGCAGCCAACCTAACTCTACCTGGACAGAGCAGAAGGGTGAGGTTGCTTTTCTCAGTACCTAAGATGGAGACCTAAGAGGAGCTCAAGCCGTTCATCCAGATGCAGCTACTACCATCCTTCAGCTCAGAGGTTCTGTGATATGCCTTGTGATCCGTTCCTCTCAGCTGTTCAGAAAGATGAATGGCTGTTGTGCCTCCATGGATTCTTCCATTCTCTCTCCTAATTGAAGGTCAGAGACTTCTAGGTGCCTCCAAATGCTTCTGGAGCTAGAGAACAGGATGTGTGATGGAAGCTTTGCCCTAAGGCTCTTCTCCAGCTTGCAAGGAGACAGCAATATTATTCTGGGTTTGGAGACCTGGGGACCTGATTAGATACAAAAAGGTAGAAGTTCCCCTAGGATCATGACCCTACACGTTAATTTTTAAAAGAAGGAAATTTAACCTATATTCTCGATATTTAAATGGGCTTTTTAGAAATATAAAAATATTGTTCAAAAAATATTGTTCAATTAACATTTACTTGTAATATGCAAAGTATTGTGTAAAAATAAATTTACCATTTACTGAACACATAATATAGACCAAGCACAGTTTTTGGCCTAGCAATATATAATGACTTCAGTGTGCCAGGTTCCAATACCATGTTTCATGCATTGTTTCATGTTAGTCCTTCCTCAAACCCTATGAGCAGGGCTTTGTCATCCTCATTTTAGATATAAAGTGATTCCCTACATTCTAAATTACTAAAACCACATGGATTATCTGTTCATCTTAATCCAACACTCTGGTATTCTTACCAGTTGCTTTTAATATCTCCCTGTGGAAGATAATGAGGTGTCTAGAATCCTCACCTTAAAGATTCTGACCATGTTTGGAAAAATATGTTATAACACAACCTAACTAAACACATTAAAGAAAGTGCTAAGATCCAGAAAAGGTTAATGTAAAATTCTATGCCAGTACAGAAAAGGCTGTTTCACACACAACTTACATCTCAGTTCATCAGAGGAGCTGTTGTGCCCAGATCGCGAAGTCCCCAAAGACCACCAAGGAGCCGATTCCGATGCAAACGCACGAGGGTCGTTTATTCAAGCTCGAGCAGGGGCTCTCAACTGTCACCGACGCAGCGGGTCAAGATTGACAGCCCCGAATTTTGAATTAGCAGGGTTTTTATAGAAGCTACAGCAAGGTTTCATCTAGCAATTATAATGATTGGTCGACGCTTAGCATGCATGAAGTGTAGATTTCTGATTGGCTAGGCTCATCGGGGGGGGGTGAGGGGGATTACGTATAGGTTTTACAAGGGAAAAAGGGGACAAAGGTTAGTGGCCCACTGTCACATACTGATGGTCAGCAGACATCCTGACTAATAGTCACGACCACCCTGTGTGGATAGCCAGCACATTAACAGATTGTCCTATAGATAGCGGGCCCAGAACATTTGCTTCTAGGGTAAACAAATGGCAGAGTAATAAACTTAGGAATCTTGTCCTGTTACAGATTGTGTCTCCTGTCCCAGAGCAAACACATTTTAACCATTAATTTGAGAGGCTAGGGGAATGGTGGATTTTAGCAAAATGGAGTCACTTTGGTCTCACAGAGCTACACAATACCCAGTCCAGAGGAAAACCAACTTGTCTTCTTTTGGAATTTGAGCTTGATATTAAAATAATTCCTGTCAGTTAAAAAATTCAAAATTAACAAATTGTTGGAATTCTCCTTGATGGCCCCTATCCTTCATTCTTGCTTCTTCCAGCCTCCAAAGACCCCATACTGAGCCTAGGCATATTGCATCTTGATTCCCCATTGCACAACTGGATATTGGTTTTTCTTTTTCATTTCTTTACTGTTTTTCTAACTCCCCCTCCATCGTAATAATTATTCTTCAGTGCCCCAGTCTCTCATAGCCTTGCTTGAGCTTTGTGACTGTAATTCTCACTGTTCCAACATCATAGAGTTGAAGCCTTAAGAAATCATCTAATTCTGGCTGTACAAATGAATTAGACAATTATCTATTTATTAAAAGGACATATTCTGCTACTCCAGTGCACACTTAATAAAGCAGAATCTTTAACAATGAGACTTTGTAATCTGCATTTCTCTTTTAAATCTCTCACTAGTTATCTAGATATTAATTAGATTCACTGATCTAATCTTCACACCTTACATTTTCTCAGCAGAAAATCTGAGGCCACGCAAGTCATGGAGTATTTGGCAAAACAGTCTGGAATAAAACATGAATCTCCAATATCTCCTGTTACACTGAAGCTCAGAAGAAATGTTCCTGCCCTCTAGTTTGACTGAAAGGGGGAGTCTAAGAGATAGAGGATAGCCTTGAAGGGTAGTGCTGAGGAGATACTTGAATGCCATGACAGGAAGCATACATGCAGTGTGAATCCATTGAACATACTGAGCAGGAAGGTGACCTGTCAGAGCTGTCTTGAAGGAGACCAATTACTAGGTGAATAGAACAGAAGACCTTTCTAATCACACAGTGCTGGCCCTGACTTATGGTTGTAGTCTGTCTAAACTGTACACTGAATGATTTTACCAGGCCCGTAGTTCAGGTCCCATCACCAAGCTCTTTGCATTGGACATTTTTTATGCCTCCTTTCATGTTACTCCACCTTTTGGATTTCTACTGTTGCTGTGGCAACAAGCCTCATTAAAATATAGACAAACAGCAACAGCTACTTGGCTACATTTATCGCCTTCTTTCCAGCCCTAGGACATCTCCGTCACCACAATGTGAAGAGCACATGTGAACTGCTCTGCCATTCAGCTTCATGTTCCAACCAAGAAGTGTGAAGGAATTAACACCCCAGGAGCAGGGAGGGGGGATGTTCCCCTCTTCTGTGTCTCTAGTGATCCTTGCTTTGCAGTATTTCAAAGGGCCTCAGAAGGATTGACCATAAATTTCCCATTAAGATAATCAATAAGACATTCTTACATTGATTGTCCGTGCTTCCTTGCTTCACTCACCCACTTCCCTTGGAGCCCTTAAAAATAAGCTACCTACACTCAAGTCCTTGTATCCAGCGTGAGTTTTCACGGAAGCCTCAGCTAAAACAGTATTTGGAGCAGGTCTGAACAAAACGTTCCTTACTCTACCTGAGAAAAAGCAGCACCACCCAAAGCTTTTGGGGTCAGAAAATTAAATACAAATCACTCAATCCACTGTCTGAAATTCCACATTACAGAGAGCTTTTGTGTTTTGAGCATGCCCTGCCAAAATGCCAAAATATCAGGAGTGGGATCTCAAGTTATTATTAGTTAATGAGGATAAACCAAAAAATCTTGGTTAACCAAAAATTCCTCTGATACTTTGTCCTTAGATCTACTGAAGCTTGACATGTTCTTATCTAGATCCCTCCTTAAACTGTGAGGTGGTAACTATGTGTATTTACTTTTATACTCTTAAAAACAAATGCAAAACCTGGCTTGCAGAGGGTTTCCAAATATTAGTTTCTGATTCTCAATGTCTTCATCTACAAAACAGGTACAATGGACATAAATCACAGGGTTGCTGTGAGGATCAAATTAAATCATGAAAATGGAAAATCTACCAGATTGGCTGATACATGGAAAAGACTTGATAAATTTACACAAACAAATATAAAATATATTTAATTTAGAGGTGGAATGAGAGAAGGGAAATTTTTGGTAAAAGCTAAGTAAAGCTAAAAGAGGTGAGCAGGGCCGATGTGGGTAAGAGGAGGGTAGGCAGTCCTCAGAGGAGTTTTGAAACAATGTTTTTTTTCCAACACTTTGAATGGAAGCCCTATCTTTTTCACACAGCTGAATCTCAGATAGCTTCAGAGTCCTTGAGTATTTTACCATGTTCTTGCTCTCCCCTACCAATGCCCTTGTTCCACGACACCACAAGACCAAAGCTAGGTGAAGTTTCCTTTACACCTTCCAGTCTTCTTTTTTCTCTGTCCATTTCTAATCTTAATAAAAATTCCTCTTTATAAAACATTCACAGGCGTAATGTTTGGTCTACCATCCATTCTCTGTCAAAACCCATTCTCAGGAAGGATTTCATAAATTCTTCGACACACAGTCTTCTCAAGCTTGTTAGGGCTCACCCACACTCCACATCCTTTTCCAGGCATTTTTTTAATGAAGTCAAAATCTTCAGCCAAAAAAAATTAGATGTTTATAATGACATTTTTAAACAGCACTCAATTGATAAGAGGTACATTTTGGTCAGGTAAGGCAGTCATCATACAATAGGCTTATAGTCAATCACACTAACAGCTTTTTGTCCTCTACTTGGCAAGCTAATTACAACTCCACGTGTGTGTGTGTGTGTGTGTGTGTGTGTGTGTGTGTTGGGTGACATTTTCATACACCAGTCCTTGCTATTCCCCTACACATGGGGTAGATTTCAGTCACTACTCAGTTACGACAGACCTCAAGTGTAAATCTTATAAATTTCTTAACTGCCTTGGTGATTATAATACATCCTTGCTCTCAGTCCCTCTGCAGTCAACTTATAACTAAAGAAAATAAATCATTATTATAAACCTGAAATGAACCCCATAGGAAAGAGGCCCCTTGGGGCACAAAAAGCAAAGAAGACTGAGGCTTCATTAAAAGTTGACTTTTCTCCAGAAGCGTTAGAGGATTCT